ACATGCTGAGTGTGAACATGGATTTATGTGATGTATGTTGTGTATGGATTTATGTGATGTATGTTGTGTATGGATTTATGTGATGTATGTTGTGTATGGATTTATGTGATGCAGCTTCTGCCAAATGTAATGGATTTCTTAAAGAAAATGACAACAGAAATTCTGTGAAGCAATATGTTCATGCATATGTTAGGTACTTGTATTAAACAAATGTTTTATTTTATTTATCCACATGATGATCCATGTGAAGCACACTCCTGTATACTTGGCACATTGCTGAAGGTCTGGAGTGATATTCAGACTAGACTGAGCAAAGATGGCAGATTTCCATTCTTCTAGGATTTTTTGCTAGATCTTTCATGGTCACTATTACTTACCTAATTTAGTTAAATCAAATTTGAAATAAACAAATTTATTTTCCACAGCTTAGATTTGTTCATTTAGCATGGACAAATGCTTGGCAGTGTTTCTAGGGAATTAATTAAACAATAAGCTAATGATTTGTCATGATTAGGAACTATTGAGATGGATTGGAATTTGGCAATGTTCAGATAAAACAAACTGGGATGAGAGAGGGTAGTGTTGTTCCGAATAGAGATGTACCAATATGGCAACGGATCAGTGAAGTGACTGCAGTATTTAATGTATGCATATGATTTGAATTTAGGAACATTAGTAAAGGTGTTTGAGTTTGCAAAAGATGCCATGACAGGATGGGGAATAGTGGAAATTCAAACAATACAAATTAAGCAGACCAAGTATGAAAGGTCTCAGTAGTTTCAAAAACTGAGATGATGATTATAAATTCCAATCATTGTTGACAAAATGCAACAATAATTCTAGGTGCAGGATTTAAGCAATAAATTAAATGGATCTAGGCTATAGGACATAATGCAGGATTTGACCCAGGAGTATTGATGAAAATGAACTGAAACCAACAGCATAATGCATGAATCTGGATTATTAGATTGAGAAGATTATTTGGATCTTGAAATACACAAGCTAGAGATATGACAAAAATCCAAGAAGTGACAGTATGTCTGAAAAAGGAACAGTATCTAAACTGTGGCTCATCTAACAGAGTTGGAAAACTTTGAGTTCAAGTCCCTTCCAAGAATCAAGCACATAATCAAGGCTAACATTCTTGTGAAAAACTGAAGGAATGCTGCATTGTCATAACTCAATTACTGTCTACCCTCTCAGTGCAAATTAAAGATTTAATGGAAGTACTGGACATACTTGTGCCCTTTTCAACCCATACACTCTCAATGCTCAATGTCTTAGCTACCAATGTTCCCTTGACCAACACCTAAAAGAAAATTATCCGGTCATTGTTTTACCATTGCAATTCAGGTCTTGGTGCTCATGAATTGGTTGCCACATTGCAACCGTGGCTGCGCTTCAAAACTAATTCATTGTCTATAAAGCAATCTGGGACATGTTGAGATCAAGACAGACCCTATATGCAATCTCTTTCTTTTCAGACACTTATAATTCTGGTCAGTGTACTACAGTAGGTATATTTGAGTATTGCAGGTAGTGTGGAAAAGTCAAACAAAACTCACTGAACTAAAGCCATATGAGATGTGAAGACAATGAATTGCACAATATAGGGAAAAAGTATTAAAAATTAAAAAGGTTGTAAATAAATTGAACTTGATGTTATGTTCATGTTTTCCACTTTAGAACAAGGGACATGTGTTCCTGTTTAAAAACAGGAAAATGCACAATTTAAAGGCAACTACATGGAAGGTGGCGAATCTATCAAACAAATTGCTCAGGGAGCCAATGCGACAAATGTAACAAAATTAAGAAAGAATTGGATAGATAATGGAAGAACTGGAAGATCAATAAGGGTGATGGTGTTAGGGACAATTTGGATGGTTATGTTCTTAAAGAATTGCACTGAAATTACAATACTGTCTCTTGAAAAATATTGCAACCATTATAACAATGCATCTGTAAAATATTATATTAAACCTAGGTACTTATCAAATAATAACACTTCTTTTCCTAAAATATTGCACTGAAATTATACTTCTATCACGAAAGTATCAGAGAATTTACAACACCTTAACAATAATACACCAAAGCTACAATACTGTGGCATTGTGCAATACAAATTACAAAACGGCATGTTCCAATGTATTACATGATAAATCATTTAATTACAATACTGCTTCCTCTTAAATGTTACATGAGCATTGCAACCCTGTATCTGTCTGACTATCAACAAGAAATTTCAATTCTACAACAGTTAAAATTTGTAATCTGGAAAAATTCAGTACAGATGTACGATTTGTTCAAAGCTCCTGCGGTACCTGTTACTCATATAGCTGGTTCTGCTATGCGTCTTTTCAAAGTTAAAGCTGTAACAATGCAACACACAATAGCTGCTACTTCAGCATAAGGATTTACATCATCATCTGACTGCACATTTAGAAGCTCACAAATTGATCAAATAGTTTGTGATTTTTTGTTGTTACTTTTTTTTCTCAGTAACTGAAATTTCTAATATCCAAAGTGAAATTTCAATAAAACATTGAACAATTAAAAAGTGTAAATTTGGTAAAATGAATGACTGAGTTTTCTCTTGTGTCTCCTAATACTTGCTTCATAGCTTTTATTTAAAGACAGTGCTCTCCTAATAGCTCATGTTTTGACAGGTGATTTGACCCATAACAATGACTCACTGAGCTTAATTTGAAATCTGAAATCTGAACATATGTATCTAGTTCCCTGAGGGAGAAAGAGAGACAGACAAAGAGAGAGAGCGAGAGAGAGAGATGCTGTTTGAGCTGAGAAGTAACAATGTTCTAATTACATATCTGCTGTTATTTCAGTCAACTTTTAGATAATATATGAAGATGAGGGTTAAATGGAGTGAGAGGAAATCTTTGGCTCCAAAAATTCGATGGGATTCAATCACAACATTGCATCCACTGCTGTCCTTCTCATTTCTGGAACCCACCTCATCCACACAGCCTTTATAAAAATGTCAAACTGAAATGTCAACTCCACTTAAATTGCTTAAATACCACACATTGGAACTGAATCTTCAAAAAAATTCTACATCATGCTTAAGAAGCTACGTGTTCTAAAACATAGTGCCTAACTTCTAATATTGTGTCTTTCAGCAAAGCACACTGAAAATTTTGCTCTTATAGAAGATTTTTTATGAAATCACAATGGCTCTATTCCAATTTAATATCTGAAATTACTAAAAACAAAACTTCTAGATTATTACACCAAAGAAATAACACAGCCACATTTAAAATGTTGTAGTGACATTGCTTAATCTAACAGATTGCACTTAAATTCCAACTGTTCAGCTTCTAATTTATATTACATTTATGATCCCATACAAAATATTTAACATGAATTATAATACTGCTGATTTCAACATATTGCAAAGAAATTAAAAATCTCAACCAAACGATTAAACTCAAAACACTGTGCTGTAACTTGCACAACATTACTAGAATTACAACATTGCATTTTCAAATGAATTACACTAGACCTGCATGAGGGTTAATTCTAATTTTCCAGTTTCAGCTCTGATTTTATAGTGACAGGACAGAAATTTAAAAGTATTGCACCCACAATACAACCATTTCAATCTATTAGATATATTTTACATTTCCACTTTGTCCAGTGTATGATATAAAAATTACAAATCAGCATCTAGTTAATTAAAATATACATCGAAAATAGGACACTAAAATTACACCATCTCTTTTTAAATTATTACACTGAAATTGCAATATTTCTATAGTACCACAGCCAACTTACAGGACGGGAATCTCCGAAGTATTATAATGAAAGCACAACATCTCGGTGACAATAGCAATTTTCTTTTTACATGGAAGCAGCATGTCTTTTCTGCGGGACTGCATTGAACGGACAATTGTTTTTTCGAAAATATTGCATTCAAGTAAGAAGTACTTCGTTCAAATTGCAATGCTAGTTTTGACTAAATATCTCCCGCTTCAAAACTAATACTGTGGAAATACAACCACACCTCTTGACCGTTTTCTTTCTGCTAAAATTGCCTCGTCTCTTCTAAAACATCGCGGCCTTTTCTCCACATACAATATATAAGATAAAATTGTGTGTGAAATACATAAATGCTTCTACTAAAATACCAACAGAAATGGCCAATTTGCTTCTTTTTTTAAAAAAATGTATGACACTGAAACGACAATGTTTTCTTGTCAAGTGTCCTGTCCTCGCTGTTAACATTACCTCCACTAAACGTAATTCCCAAATATTCCTCTCAAGACCTTGGACGTGCCATACCAAGCTATGAGACAAAAGTGTGATCCAAATATTAGCAACCAATTGTGCAACCAATTATAAATCAAAGTCGGCGTTGCTCCTAGACATTACCTGTTCAAGTATTGTATTCTTTGTTTTTGAATCGCTAAATTTACATTTCAGTAGAATTGATGAATTCAGGGTAATTGTCCTTGCTATGCTGAATGGTGTGGAACAAAACCTACAATAAATCATGAAATAGAATTTCTGAAATTGACAGAACGAAAGCGTGGAACCAAAATTCCAGTTCTTTCCCCACTGACATAAGAATTAAAAGACGGAATAGAAATATATTTTCGGAATACTAAATACCATGGAACCTCGCGCCTTGAGTATACTTGGCCGAAAGCAGGATGCACCTTCTAAAATATTATCGCCTTCCTCCCTGAAATATTCGGCCGTTTGCAGAAGCAAGTCTGTTATCAAGTAATTTTACAAAAGCCTCCCTAGACTTAGTTTTAAGTTTTCAATTCCTCAGTCCTCCTTTATTAAAAGTTAGAAGTGTGCCCTAAAGAAGCCGCGAGATGTCAGCTTCCCGTGCACAGTGTTGATCCCAGTAATATATCATCCCGGCAGCTCAGGCACAGCTGCTGCCTTTTCGCAAATGCTGCAGGGATCCTGAAAGAGAGCGGAGGGCTGGGATCTTGTGCAAAGGCGACAAAGCCGCACTTAACAGAACTCACTGCGTTATTTCACCATCATTCCGAACAGGCCAGTGAGTAACGACGGCTGTCTTTAATTTTAAACAGTCCTGTACAAACCTGTACGCCGAGTATTTGCAGTGATCAGACACAGCAAACAGTTCATGAATAGAAACTGGTAATGGGGAATTTCTGATACAAGAAGCGGATTGGTCCTAAATAAGGAGTAGTTGAATCAGCTCATGTTCACATCTGTGTTTCTTTCCGAGAATCTGTTTCTGGGACTGGCTAGCTTTCCTTTGCATCACGTTTGGGGAACTGGCCGAAATCGTTTGATCTAACCACAGTTTCCTCTTTGTAGTTATTGGCGGGTGGGTAGTGGGGGGCTGGGAGTGGATAAACTTGTTAATAAGAAGAATTGGACGGAAGGACATTATATCATCAGTTTTGTTTTAAGAGAGATTAAAACTTTTTCCGCTATCAGCTTTCAGGAAGGTTGTGTGGTTCGCTCTCAATAGTTAATGTTGGAGAACCGAAATGTAAGCTGTCAGTGTGGCGTCCGGCTAACAAAGCTGGTTTTTTAATTCTAATTCCGAATGAAGATTCTTGTCTTCAATCCCAGCAGTGCCCATGCACTGGATTACTCTGCAGTGGTGACTTCTTACTCGGGGCTTTAGGTGCTGTTTGAGGTAACAGCAGTGAGAACCCAACTTGGTGTTAGAGAGTGGGACGATTTGCCTTTCTTCCTAAAGAGAGGAGTGCTGTACCAATGTTTCATTTGCTTCTATGTTATGTCTCGATTAAATGAAAATACTAGTTCCTGGTTTCTTCCCATCTTTAACCAGCATCCCAGAGGAAAGTTCCAAGCGTTCATCACAATTACAAATAACGGGGGTGGCTGGAACCGGTGCTCGGACAGACACCTGTCACTTAAATACTCTGCTGACATTCTCTTTATCCTATATACACACAAACATGCGCCCCTGCTTCCGCACAGCTTCTTAGTTTCTCCCTGGGAAAGAATGACTGAAGGTTACACTAAGGCTGATGGTAGTAGCGGGGCTGCAATCCGCAGCTACTGGAAAAAAAGACCGGTTTCTGCCGATTCAATTCACGTTAAACCCCGATCAGACTAGCCAGTGGGAAACGGGTGTCACATTGACATTGTCTGTGCATGCCTCCACACCAGTTTCTCCCTTGCACCGATGCCTTGCTCAACTTAATTCTTTACACAGTTTTTTTTAAAGATGCAGCCCTACATTTTGGAATATCGGCGCATTTCTAGTCCTTGGGGCTTATTGTGGACAATTGTGAAACACTCTTGCGGTGACTCCGAAAAAGGAAAAAGAACCCAGTAAATGACCGGAGCCGTGGGCACAGCTACATCTTCAACAGTCTCGCAACAACATGAAACATATTGTCAGGGTTTGTGAGAAGTACAAATTCTCCCAGATAACCATAAGAATGGTGTATCATCTTTGACAGCTACTGAAGTCTATAAAAACAAATCCTTAACAATAAAACATTCCATAGAAACCCGTCTTCAATGGAATGGAACCTTACAGCTAACCGTATCTATTAATTTCTCAACCAAATGTCAGGTTTTAATTCTGTTGGAGTTGATGTGTAATTGTGACTTTCGATTCTGAAAGTGTTGGAATTTGGAGCTTTTTTTAAGAAGTAATCATAACGGAACAGGATCTCTCGCAGTGCTGTAGATAGCGGCCTGCTGTGTGTTGGTGAACCATCCCGTTAGCCCGCAGCCCCGAGCTGTCACAGCGTTTACCGCAATCACAGGACGATCGGACTCACAACGGGACAACATTGTCCCTCAGCCCTGATTCCGGCCAAACAGCGGATCCGTGTTTCTGCTACAGAGGCCGGCGGCACAAATGGGTCGACACCGGGCAAAGTGGCGTATCGGAGATCTCACATTCCTCACTTAAAAATAACTTGGCGAAATGACAAAAGACTGAACAACAATGTGTGCACACTAAACAGTGGTCTAGTATTATCCCTCAACCGCTCCCCTCGAAATAAACTCCGCCAAACACCAGCTTGGCCTCATTTTTTACAAAATTTTTCAAAAAATAAAATAAAAACAGGCAACACGTGCACTGCGTGAAATCCTAAAGTTAGATCCGGAAAACGAGTTAAAAGTTCGCGTTTAAAACAACATGATTAAGTATTTGCTACTTTAAAAGAAAACAGAGAACACAAGCGATTTGGTCCTGCCATCGAGATTAACATGTCGCCCCGAAAACGGGATTTGGATAAAAACGGCGCACGAAAAATAAAACGTTTCTTTCAACAAAACGAAACTTCAGATTTTGGGTGTGAGAGAAATGATCTCCCGCCATTCTTCTCTTTTTTTAAAAAAAACTCTACCGTTTGTGGAGCGAAGCTGCAGTCAACAGGATGTTTTGGGGAAACCCGAGTGTATGTGTGCGTGTGTTTTTTTTTTAAGGACTAACCGGAGTTGATCTCCATACACTGGCTTGAATCCACGTTGTCTGCAAGCTCCGAGTCCGGGCTTATACTGTCCACACTCAGTTCCATTGTCTTCTCGCCCCATTCCTGGATTTTCCTCTTTTTATTTGTCCCGATCAGTGCTTCCACCGAGAAGGCGTGAGCCCTTGAACTGAGGGCAGCTGCTGATCGCCTCCTTTCACTCATCGCCCGAAGAATGGTCCAAGAACCAGCAAATACCAAACTTTCCTTCAAACGCACGGAGCCTAGAGGTCGCTGGCCGGCGGTAATGTTCGGTGGCGGGTTCCAAATTCAGAAACAAGCTGGAAAGGATTGCTACAAGGTTTGGACTTCAGGCGTACAGTCACAACAGCAGTGCAGAGCTGGTCACATCTCTCAAAGTCCCAGTTAGCATGGTGCTGACTGAGTGAGAGCGCTCATTGAACTTAGTCCACTTTCTGCCTCTACTCTGTCATCCTCCCCAGTCTCCCCCAGCCCCCACCCCCTATCCCCGGGCTGATTGATACAAACTTCTGCAGCGCTTTACTGCAGGGGGCGAGGTTTCAATGCCAATCAAACTCTCCCGTCCAATAGTCACACGGCCAGCAGCCAGTATCCAATGACACACCAGCAGGATTCCAAGACAAACAACCGCAAATTTGGACTCTTGGTCGCCAGCAGGCACCTTGATGCTCACCAGCGACTGCACAGTGCCCAGATTTAACCGTTTAGGAACAGTGAGCGCCTTTCTCCCAGGTTTGTGGCTAACTGATATGAAACTTTTCTGTCTCCCTGCTGTATGTCCCGTGCACTGTTTTAAAAATGACCAGGAATGTTGGCGGCTGCTGACAAATCCAGTAATAATAAAACCAATAGAAGCATTTTTCTTAAATTTCCTCGCGCATTTCAGACATCAGTAGAGAGTGATATTGAATACCTGTATTCATTTGAAGGATTTCTCTGCATGTTCCACCAGTTCCGTCCCACCGCTACCAAGTGGTTAACTTTCATCTATGGTTCTCTTTCCCTTGCAATATTGCGCTGGAACAGGGGAGCGGACTGGAAAGAGCTACTGCAAAATATTGCCTCAGACAGAAAGCAGAAACTTTTCTGTGTTCCAGAAATATTGAAGCAGAGGGGTACAGTTTGCTGTACTTACTCGGCGAGATTTGTGTTTGCTCTCGGGATGAGTCCTGTGCTGATTACAGAAATGACCAAAAAAAATTAAAAGGTAAAACTAAAGGGAGAAAGTCAAATCGACAAGCACCGTTCCATTGATTATTCTGTACTGTTAGAAATTTGCAATTTAGGTTTTTTTCAGTAGAGTTAGTTGTTGGTTGGCTGTAGATGTTGAGTGCCATACTCATTTTACTATTCACCATTTTTAATTCATGTAGCCATTACTGAAATCCAATGTGCTCTTGGGAGACTTATTGACATCAGTGGTTATATTTAACTATATCAAAGTAAATCTGGTTGTATTTAAAACCATGCGTTTAGCACCCTGCTGCTGGCTGCATGTGCCCGTGGGAATTAGCATAAAGCAGATATTATGATTTTAAAATCTGCAAAAGTAAACACCAAAAAGTTTTAAGATAACCTTTGTCGGGAATGTATTGTAACGTGTAGAGATCAAGTCACAAATTGCAGACTGCTCTGGAAATACACGCCACTCCCATTGGAATCTGCGCAGAGACACGTTAATGGTTAAGGTGTAGATCTCCCCATCCTACATACATACATACACTTACATGCGCGCACACTTGCATATACACAGAAATTCCGCATACGCGCGCACTTAAAACTACACAGGCACACACAAATTCTGAAAGCGCACACACACACATACACACATTCACACACACCAAAATCTACACGCCCACGCACACAACTCCTAAAAATTCACACATGAATACCCACAAATACACACACATACACAAAACACAAACACACACACGCACACACAAAATACATAAGCACACACATACAGAGTCGCAAAAGCATACACACCAATGCATAAAATTACACAAACGCACAAAATTACACACATGCACATTCACATTCAGAAGTACAGACAATGTGTAATCGCAGAATTTTCTCACTGATTTTAAACTTGCATTTATAAATATGTTCTCCTGAAAGTGGAGAGGATGGTAATACTATTGCCTTTTACTTTTTACAATGTTGTAGATGTTGACGTAAATGAATCAATGAATCTCACTCGCTGTTATTCTAGCCGTGATTTAATTAGAGCACTTGTGTTAGGAAATAATTCAGAATAAGATCATAAACCGAGTTTCTCACTATTCAAGTCAACAATTTAAATCAAGACTAGAGGGGGATGCATTAATACCGTATGCGAATACCAGATCTACATATTTGCTTGTTACAATATAAAGTGTAATTCAGGTGCGCACATACCACATCATGAATATTTGAATAAAGCCTAGCAGAAACTATTAATATGCATAGGTCTATTCATTTCCGCACTGCCGTTATTCTTTCGCAAATTACAAGTTTAACATGTTCTGAATTCCAGTTAATATCCAGTAAATAATTTTCTTCCACCCTTGCCGGCAAATTGGACGACTCCCGCTCTTCCCACATCCAGGATCTTCCCCCACCTCCTCCCTCCCCATTCCACCGAAAATCGTTGGTGTTACTCTGTAAATATCTTACAGCGTACCGGGAATCAAGAAGAAAGAAAGAAAGTCTAAAGAGAACGGAAGGAAATTATGCCTTCAGGAAGGGAACGTTTTTCCCTCTGTATATTTAACGAAATACGCTGTGAGGCAAGTGTTTGTTTCCAATGCTGGCAACTTCTTCTGACTTCAAAATATTACATTTCAAGCCGCGCAACTTTTATTTTCCTAAACTGCCAGAAAGGATAACGTGAATATCTTTTAGTCTATTTTCCATTACATTTTACTTATACATTGAGTTCAAGACGAAGAAATACCCCCGTGTTTGAATTTCTTAATGTTGAAGAGCAGTATCGAGAGAGGCGTTAATACAGATGCTCTTGTGTCTTTCTCACATTAGCTATATTTTCAGGATAATTAGAAGGACCAGGAAACTAAACTACTTCAACAACGATTCTCTTTCTCATGGATTCAGACAGATGAATGTAATTCTTAAGTCTGATTTAGGAATTTTAATGCTAAATCTTTCGAGATTTTTGATATGAAATACACTTATAAGAGACGAATATAACTGCCAGCGTTCATAAAGACAAGCCATAGAAATTGAGGTACAGTAAGGCTAAACAAAGACCTGAAGGTATGGCATTAGTTATTGTCAAAAACGCAAAAGTCGGATGGCAGTAAACCATGAGAGTATAATAGTCTGATGTTGTTATGAGTATATTTATAGTCTACATTTGAAATTTCTCTACATTAATGGTTGCAAATGTATCAGACAGTTTTACAATTCAGTACATCACGTTCCGAAGCTGTTGGAATGCAGTGCTGTCCATGTCTAACACATTGGTATGCTGTGCAAACTTGAATGCTCTTTGTATACGTGCGTTTCAATGGCCGGCAAAGAATAACGTTTGCAGTATCAATTAATTAATGTAGATCTATTTAATGATATAACTATTTAGCAATTTCTTTACTTCTATTTTGTAATAAGAATTAGCTCAGTTTTAGTTGGTTGGTTAGCCAATATCAAACAACAGCTCACTCCCATTAGCATACTGTCAGAATCTTATCACAAATAATAGAGGTCGGACGTCTACTATCTGTCTATTTTAAAGACATATCCTGATATGTGACTTTTTTTATACAGGGTGATATTTTAAGTGCTATGACGTATGATTTTAATATTTAATAATTAATTTATAGGACATAGGCACTTCTGGTTAAGCCAGCATTTATTGCCCACCCGTAATTACTCTCACCTTCCTGAACTGCTGCAACCCTTGTTATGTGCGGACTCTCACAGTGGTATTAGGGAGTGAGTTCAAGGATTTTGACTCAACGACAGTGAAGGAAGGATGATATAGTTTCAATTCAGGATGATGTGTGGTTTGAAGAGGAACTTGCAGGTGGTGGTTGTGTTCACATGTATTTGTTGTCCTTGTCCTTCCAGGTGATAAATGTTGTGGATTTGGAACATGCTATCTAAGGAGTCCCTCCTAAATTGTTGCTGTGCACCTTGTAGGTGGCACACATTGCTGCTATTGTTTGTGGGTAGTGAATATTGAAGGTTGTGCGCAGGGTATGAATCAAGTGGACTGATTTGTCTTGGATAGACTTACGTTTCTTAAGTGTTGTTGAAGCTGCAGTCAACCAGGCAAATGGACAGCATTCCAACACATTTCTCACTCGTGCCTTGTGAATGGTGAACGGACTTTGAAGAGTCGGGACGTAAGTTAATTGCCGCAGAATTCCCAGATTCTAACCTGCTCTTGTAATCGCAGTATTTATAAGACTGGTCCAGTTCAGTTTCTAGTGAATGGTAACCCAGGACATTGCTGATGGTGGATTCAGTAATAGTAAAGTGCCATTGAATGTTAAGAGCAACAGTTAGATTCTCACTTATCTGACACTTGTGTTGCGTGAATGTTACTTGCTACTAGTCACCTCAAGCCTTGATATTATCCCGGTTTTGCTGGATTTGAACATGGTCTGCTTCAGTATCTGAGGAGTCGCTAACGGTGTTGAAAATTGTACAATCATAAACGAACATCCCACTTCTGACCTTTCAATAGAGGGAAGGTCATTGATGCAGCAACTGAAGATATTTGAGCCTAGGACACCACCATGAGGAACTCCTGCAGTGATTTTGTGGAGCTGAGATAATCGATCTCCAACAAGGACACCAATTTCCTTTGCGACAGGCATAACTACGATAGGCAAAACAACAGAGTTTCTCTGAATCCCATTGAATCAAGTTTAGGCAGCGCTCCTTGATGCCAGGCACGGTGAAATGTTACCTTGAATGTAAGGGCACTCATTCTCACCTCACTTTTGTCCATGATTGGACATGGGTTGTTATGAGGTCAGAAGCCAAGTGTACCTGAAAAAATCTAAACTGGGCGTTAGTGAGCAGGTTATTGTTAAGTGAGTGTCCCTAATATACTTCGTATTATTCGGAACAGAGAAAATTAGGCTAGGTTTACAGGACTTATATCTCCGAATTACCTCTATTTCACCTCACGTGAAGTCACTATCAGTTAGTTCTGTGCCCCCGTCCCTCTAAACACCGCAAAGTAGATATTGGCGCGGAAATGATGGGATATTGCGAATAGCAAACGGTCACAACATTCAAGAGGGATGGAATGGTTAACACGATACACAATGAGTTGGCAATCACCGGATATTTTTTGCATTGATGGTCTCCTGAATTTATTCTATTTATGCCGCAAAACTGTTGCGAGAACGGAAGATTGTCTTCACTTTAAAATAAA